TTGGTTTATAGTGTCATTTAGGTCCTCTGTTTCCTTGTTGATCTTCTTTCTAGATGTTCTGTCCAATATTGAAAGTGTTGTATTGAAGACTCCAACTGTTATTGTAGTACTATCTATTTCTCCCTTCAGTTCTATCAGTGCTTGCTTTATATGTTTAGGTGCTCTGATGTTGGGTGCATATAGATTTATGATTGTTAAATCTTCTTGATTAATTTTCTCTTTTATCACTATCTAATGTCCATCTCCATCTTTATCTCTTTTGACAGATTTTCTTAAAGTCTACTTTGTCTAATATTAAGATTGTCACCCCAGCTCTCTTTTACGTATTATTTGCATGGAATATTTTTTTCCATCCTTTCACTTCCAACATATCTGTGTCCTTGGGTTTAAGGTGTGTCTCTTGTAAACAGCATATAGATGGATCATGTTTTTTAATCCATTCTGCCACTCTCTGCCTTTTGATTAGAGCGTTTAGTCCATTTACATTCACTGTAATTACTAATAAGAAGAGACTTACTTCTGCCATTTTGTTATTTGTTTTTTGTGTGTCTTAAGCCTTCTTTGTCTTTGTCCTTTAGTACTGTTTGCTTTTGTGTTTTGTTGGTTTATTGTAGTGAGCCTTTTTGGTTCCCTTCTTCTTTCCTTTTGTGTATGTTTTTAATATATTTTCTTAGTGGTTACCATGAATATGACATTTAACAGCTTATAATTATAACATTCTAGGGTAAGTTAGTACCAACTTAACTTCAGTAACATATCAGAAATTCTATATCTATACCATTCCTCTCCTCCTCCTTTTGTTGTTGTTATTACTAATTACATCTTTATATTTCACATACCCTGTGACATAATTTTATCCTTGCCGTTTATGTATTTGTTATTAAAAAAACACATAGGACAAAACATTTAGAATTATCAAGCATGAATACTTTATTACTAGTGTTTATACTTGGCCATGCCTTTCCCTTTAGTGTTGTTGTGCGCCGTCAAGTCAATTCCGATTCATAGTGACCGTATAGGACAGAGTAGAACTGCCCCATAGGGTTTCCAAGGAACAGCTGGTGAACGTGAACTGCCAACTTTTTGGTTAGCAGCCTGAGCTCTTACCCACTTCGCCACCAGGGCTCCTTGAATTACTTTCTAGTATCTTTTCCCCTCTATCTACAGAACTACCGTAAGTATTTTTTGTTGGGCTAGTTTAGTGAATATGATCTCTCTCAGCTTCTGCTTGTCTGGGAATGTTTTAATTTCATCCTCATTCTTGAAGGATAGTTTCATTGGGTATAGTATTCTTGGTTGACAGTGTTTTTTCTTTCAGTACTTGAAATGATATCATTCCATTGCTTTCTGGCCTCCCATGCTTCTGAGGATAAATTGACACTTAATGTTATTGGGGATTCTTCATATGTGACCGTTTGCTTCTCTGTCACTGCTTTCAGGATTCTCTCTTTATCTTTAATTTTTGAGAGCCTGACTATGATGTGTCTTGGTGAGATCTCTTTGGGTTTATCCTGTTTGGGGTTCTTTGAGCTTCTTGGATTTGTAGGTTTATTTCCTTTGTTAGGTTGGGGAAATTTTCTGTCACTATTTCTTCAAATATTCTTTCTGTCCCTTCCCCTCTCTCTTCTCCTTCTGGAATTCCCATGATGCCTGTATTTGGTCTCTTGTTGTTGTCCCATAATCCCATTAAACTGTGCTCAGCCTTCTTAAGCCTCTGTTCTTGTTGCTCTTCAGTGTCAGTAATTTTAACTGTGTTGTCCTCTAATTTGCTGATTCTTTCTTCTGCCTGATTAAATCTGTTGGTAAGTCCTTGTATTATGTTCTCATTTCAGTTATTGTCCCTTTTAGTTGCAATATCTCTCTTTTTAGGTCCTGCTTTTGTTTTTGCATTATTTTTCCTTCTTTTAGTTCTTTGTCTGTGTTTTACCTTAGTTCTTTAATTATGTTTAATGTTGCTGTATTATATTCTTTGATTTTTTTTTCATTATTTGTTCATCCCTAGATGCACTTTCACTTGCTTTGTCATGTTCATTTGGATAGGCCATTGTTTCTCTGTTCTTTTTGTGTCTTGTGATCTTTTTGTTGGGGTGTTGGAAATTTTTGAGGGTATTAACTTACTCAGTTTTCCCCAGTATTTGGTGTTTTTGCCCACACTACTTTCTATAAGAAACTTTTAAATGGGCAGAGACTTCGGACTTTTGCTTATTCTTTCCTTTCCCTTTCTGTGATAGCTCCTTCTCCTTCTCTGGTTTAATTGGGATTTGAAAGTTCCACATCTCATTTTTCAACTTTCAATCTCTCGTAAATACACCAGAGAATATGCTGTGGTCAGTCTGTCCGCCAGCAGGCACTGCCACTCAGGCAAGATATCATGTACTAATCAGTCTGTCCACCAGGGGGCGCAGCCCCCTCTGTGTGGCTATTACTCCTTTCCCATCTCTGTTTCTGCAGTTACATTTTTAGTTGGAAAACCCACACCCAGTGAGCCCCCTTCGGGCCTGGGTGTTGCTCTCTGGTTTTGCCCGAGGTTTCTTTCCCTGCTCTGTAGGGGCTGCTTATATCTGAGTGGGCATTCAGGGAAGCACAGGTGGACTTTCCTCTGTTTCAGGACTAGGAGGGTCTGGCACTCCCAGAGGGACATCCAAGAGATCTGTCTTGTTGGTTTTAGAGCCCCAGTGGCCCTGTGGTGGTTAGGGGAACAGTCTCTACTTAGGTGACCCAACTCCTGACTCCACTGTAGGGAAACTTCTGTAGGAGTTCATATCAGTCCAGTAGCCTACAGTTACCATTTGAGGGGGGTAGTCACACTCAACCCCCAGGGATATCTGCCTTGTTACTATCAGAGCCCACCCCATATATAGTATGTTGGCTGTGGACACAGCCTCCATTCAAGATGCCTGCTTCCTAGCACACAGCAGCCTCAGTCAGCAGTCCTTAGCGCCAATTGTAAGGGCAAGCAGAATGTCATGGATTGAATTGTGTCCCTCAAAAAATGTGTGTAGCAACTTGGCTAGGTCATGATTCCCAGTATTGTATGATTGTGCTATCTGATGTGATTTCCTTATGTGTCATAAACTCTGTCACTATGATGAGGTTCTACTGATGCGGTCGACAAGATTAGATAGTGTCTTAATGCCGTCTCTTTGGAGATATAAAAGAGAGAAGTGAGCAGAGACACATAGGAACCTCACACCACCAAGAAAGTAGTGCTGGGAGCAGAGCGCATCCTTTGGACCTGAGGTTCCTGCGCTGAGATGCTTCCAGACCTAGGGAAGACTGATGCATCACAAGGACTTTCCAGGCCAAGGGAAGATTGATGACACAGACCTTTCTTCAGAGTCGACAGAGAGAGAAAGCCTTCTTCTGGAGCTGATTCCCTGAATTTGGACTTGTAGGCTACTGGACTGTGAGAGAATAAATTTCTCTTATTAAAAGCCATCCACTTCTGGTATTCCTGTTAGAGCAGCACTAGATGACTAAGACACAGACAGACCCAAACTGATCCCCAGGGAAAGTCTATCCTGTTGGTTTCAGTGACCTGAGCTCTGGGGTTCACAAGGAGGCAGGTAGTGTGCGGACTATAGGAGCGTACTCTATTGTGGGAGACTTCTGTAGCAGTTGGCAGAAGCCTGGCAACCAACAACTACCAGGTGGGAGAGAGGGTGTCATGCTTTGGTCAGATCCTCATGGAGGTCTGCTTTGTTGCTACCAGAATCTTCCCGATAGATTGTTGGCTGTGAGTGCAGCCTCCACTTAAGACTCCTGCTTCCTAACACACAGCAGCCTCAGTCAGCAGTTCTCAGCACCACCCGGAAGTGGGGACAGACTAACCCTAACTGACCCCCAGGGAAGTCTATCCTGTTGGTTTCAGAGGCCAGAGTTATGGGGTGCACAGGGAGGCAGGTAGAGTGTTGATTATGGGAGCAAACGCCACTGCAGGGGCCTTCTGTAGCTTGCAGAGAGTGCCCAGGTTGGGGAGGGGCTGTCACTCTTCAGACGAACCTCCAGGGAGGTCTTGTTGCTACCACAGCCCTCCCCTGGAGTATGTTGGCTTTGGGTGTAGCTTCCACTAAAGATGCCTACTTCTTAGCACACAGCAGCTTCACTCAGCAGTCCTCAGTACTGGCTGAAATGGGGAAATCAGACAAACCAGAACTGACCCAACTGGAGGTCTGTCCTGTTGGTTTCAGAGGCGTGAGCTATGGGGTACGCAGGTAGGTAGGCAGAGTGTTGACTATGAGAGCAGACTTCACTGCACGGGCCTTCTGTAGCAATTTGCAGTAGGCTTGCAACCGACAGTGGGTGCAGGAGGTACTGGCACACTTCAAACACACCCCTAGGGAGATCTGCCTTGTTGATTTTAGGGCAGAAGCTTGGCATCCTATCTCTTTGTTCAGAGCTGTGGTATGTAAGGAAGCATACTCTTTTTCTGGGGCCACTACCCTACTTCACAGCAGCCAGTGGCCCATGTGGCTGGGGGAGGGGCAGGGACGGTTAGGGAAGCAATTTTCCTGCTGAATGCCACTCATTGATTCGTTGATTCTTGCCTGTCTGCAGTTCCCTGCTTTCCTCTGTGCCCCGATTCAAAATCCCTTGAAGCCAGACACCGTTACCTTATCGTATTTCTTGTTGTATTTGGTGGGGGGGAGGGTCGGAACAGTGGTTTGTTTACCTGCCTTCTTCCCAGAATTCTCTCTTTCTTTTGATGTCTGTCTCTGTACCAAAATAATCTAATATTGAACATTTTACCAATTGCTTAGAATCAGTAAATGAATTTTAGTCATAATAATTGCCATGTTCAAGTTGTATTGTAACATTTTATGAGTTTCTGTATTTTGAACATTCTCTAATTCATCAAGAATAAGGCTTGATTATTGTTTATGATGTTGTAAATTTGTTTTTAAAGCAGCTGAGTTTTGGTGTTTAAAGATTTCTCTAAAAAATAATTTACCCTTTTTGAAACTACCTTCCTAATATTAAAAATAAAATTTTTTTTGTAGGTGTCAAGAAATAAAGCCAGAAGAAAGAAGCATGATTTTTGTGACGAAGTGCCCATGTGACGAGTGTGTACCTTTAATTAAAGGTGCAGGCATAAAACAGATCTATGCAGGGGACATAGATGTTGGAAAAAAGAAGGCAGACATCTCTTACATGAGGTTTGGAGAACTTGAGGGTGTTAGCAAATTTACAGTAAGTAGATACTTTTTCAAGGTATGCTTTCTATTATATTGTTAGGTATCTTGCTACACGTTTTTAATTAATGATTCCTACCTTTTAAAGGAAGCCCTGGAGACTCAGTGATTAAGCACTTGGCTGCTAACAAAAGGTTGGCAGTTCAAATCTACCACCCAATCCTTGGAAACCCTATGGGGCGGTTCTACTCTGTCATGTAGGGTCGCTGTGAGTCTGAATCAACTCAACGGCAATGGGTTGGGGTTTGTTTTTTTCTTTGGTTTGCCCTTTTAAAGAGTTTCAACAGACTTATCGTTGAGTTTATTTTTATTTGCAAGCACTTACTAATTACAAACGTTCAGTTTAGGATCTCTGCCTTATGAATATACATCTCTGTAGAGAGAGTTACATATTGACCATACTTATCTTGAGCCAGTGGGCCCTTTTGATGCCATCTGGTGGCTGATAAAAGAACATTTCTGACTCACTTTTCCCTAGTCGCTTTTGGCTTGGAATAGTGGAAAGAGGTGAAAATAGTTTAAGATTACCCAAAAGACAGGGACACACACACACACACACACACACACACATATTTTCTTGTGAGAAAAATCAGAAAAAAATTTATAATTTCACATTTGGTATTTCAAAAAAAAGACAGGCGCTGAGGTAGTTCATGGAAAACTCAGAATTTTAACTCTTTACACTTCTTTACTATTTAGCTTTTTAAAAACTTTTTGTTTTTAAATAATCTCAGCCATACATAAAAGTTACAAAAACAGTACAATGAACATATTTTGTACCAGAAACATTTTAGAGTAAGTTGTGGATATGATACCAAATCACCCTCAAATACTTTATTGTATATTTCCTCCAGCAGAGATATTCTCCTACATAACCATAATACAAGCACCAAAGTCAGGAAATTAACATTGATGCATTATTACCATTTAATCAACATATTCTATTGAAGTTTCACCACTTGTTCTAGTAATGTCCTATGTAGCAAGACCCTGTCCAGAATCGTAATTTGCTGTTTTGATATCCAATCAGTTAATCCTAGTATTTGATACAACACTTATGTATTAGAATTTGCAGTGGGCAGTAAAGGCGTGGCAGTTTGAATCTACCAGCCACTCCTTGGAAACCCTATGGGGCAGTTCTACTCTGTCTTATAGGGTCGCTATGAGTCGGAATTGACTTGATGACAACGGGTTTTTTTTTGGGTTTTTTGTTTTTTTTTAAGAAAAGACATCTAATAGAACTGTTTATAAATTTCAGTTTCACATTCCTATTATCTAATCAGATTGAGTAAAGGGTGCCTGGAACATATAAGGCACCTAATGTTTATTAAGCTGTATGTGTGTATATATATATATTTAAATGTTTTTGATATATGAACATAGTATCTAGTTTCTGTGTGTGTACAAACTACCACAAATTTTTACCACTTTTATTTTTGTCATGTATTTTTGGTTTTTATTTGTAATTGTTTTTATTTAAAGTTTATCACAGTTTAAAAGAGAAGGGGATGATGTGGCATTGAAAGAAGGGAGACATGGGAAGGATGCCTCTGTTTTGTAAAAATACATAAAAGCTTACATCCAATTTAGTCAAAGAGAACTCTCCAGTTCTGTGTTTTTGTTTTCTGTCTCTTCATTCCTCCTGAAGAGTTGGAAGAAATAGGTTTTTAAAATTCTCATCATAAGGATTAAATGACGTATACAGCTTCAGGACTGTGACTGAATGGGCTATTGTGAAGTCTGAAATATCTTGCTTAGTGGTTGATTTTAGTAGCTCGTCAATCTTAAGGAGAATGAAGATATCAGAAGAATGTAAGAAAAGGGCAAGAGAAGTAGGAAGAGGCAGGAAGACAGAGGGAAAGGTCCCTCTGGAAGAGATGATGCAAGAAATGCCTAACTGGGCCAAGATACACCCAGGAGTACCCTCACACAGGTAAACATTAGAGAGAAAAGATACAGTCATGGCTGTTCTCTGCACTCCTTCAGATGAAGACTAGATCTCTACCCTCTCATCCTTCCCCTCGTCTGGCCTGGCTTGAAATATTTTGTAAATGATTTAAGCTACTACCTGGTTAGTTAAACAACTAGTTTTGAAATACCAGTAACTAAAATGAACTAATGTTTGTTCTAAATTTGAATTTCAACAATGATTATACTTTTTTTTTTTAATTGTTGTAGTTTAAGTGAAAGTTTACAATTCAAGTTAGTCTCTCATACAAAAATTTATACATACATTGTTATGTGACCCTAATTGCTCTCCCT